CAGATAATTATACCTGAAGTTTTTGAATTGTTGATGAATGTTTTTGAAAGATATAAATCAAGGAAATTGTATTATTTTTTAGTGGAAACAATACTTTTATTTTTGATATAGATATTTGAAAATTTTACTTTAATTAATTATTATTGATTAAGTAAATTATATACACGACTAAAGTCAAAATACCGCTTATAACTAGTTATTTTAATTATAGGCGTAGTATACATATCGACCCTCATTCTGAACGCTTGCAATTGAAAGCAAAATTTACTATAATTTATCATAATAAATTGACATGTTTGGACAGATCAGTACATCTTGCTTATTTTATAATATTACATTAATCAATCGAATTATAAAAAATGTGCACACACACACACACATACTTTTTCCAAATTTGGTCTCATTTGATTCAGAATGGTTTGAAACGTCAAGAAAACATAAAATTAGCGAATCAGATTTTTGATGAAAACATAAACTTCTCCTTCGGGAAGTTAATAATATGCTGGCAAAATAACAGTAAACTAATATAATTGTACTGAATTTTGATCTTATCTAAAAAAAAATCCATAGGAATTATCTATTTGATCTTTGTATGATAGCTTATCAATAATTATTGTTATTAATAATAATTGTTAATATATTTTGCATCATCGGCTATCATAGCGTCTCGACCAACAACAAAAGCATGCAGATGTCCAATAGACAATATGGCAAAAGCGCGTCCTCTCGTGTATCATGGGTCCCCTACTATTATTAATAACAATTTATTATGACAATGCGGATGAGTTATGTAGAGCGCGAGCACCGACGTCGCGAGAGCGCGCGATGTCAGAAGTCGCTCGCTTTGGATGGATGTTCTTGCATTCATCTTCCGAGAGACGATGGGACGATCCGTTACTCTGCGTTTTGTCACCTAGTCCATTAGACCAGATCAGGGACTCGAAACTTTTGACTTTTTTCTATAAAATCTTCTTTAATTTGACGATTTAGCTCGCAGTCAAAATTATTGTTAGACACGAAAAAATTATACAACTACTGGTGAAAGTGCCTTAAGGAAAAAGCAACTACGAAATCGTGCCTTAAGGCAAATTGCTGAAACTTCCCGTACCAGAAATATTCGAGGGAAAGAATCAATAATTAATAAATATTGATCAATAATTAATAAAAATTGTTTTAAATATTTTCAAAGAGAATTATAATTACTATATATTTACAGTGACGATGTTATTACACAAAACACTTCAGAATGTTTACATTGGCAGGAGATGCCGAATTAAACCATTTGAGGATATATGTATTTCTTACAATTAGTATAACACGCATGAAATATATACAATTTTCAATTGAATTGTAAATTCAAAATTTATATTTAAAGTATTTGTATAATCGGATAATAATATTAATTAATAATAAGTATTTTTTTTAAATTTTGAAATTAGTTTGAACCCGTATAAGTAAACTTTAAAAATTAATAATCTTGGCACGAAACCCCAAAAAATTGTAACAAAAATAGGACTCATTTTTAAAATCTCTATAAAGTAACTGATAATTTGATGTGCATATGCCTAATGATCATTTTTGACCGCCAAAAAACTGTATTTTTTCTTTTTTCTCTGTACCTCCGAAACCGCTGGACCTGCCTTTTACCAAAAATTTTATCAATTCTTTATTTCGTCATTACAAGTATTTTTTTTTGAATTATAGAAATCGGGCATCTTAAAAACTGAATTACCATTCTTGCCATTTTTTGCCCCGTATCTTCGAAACGGCTGGACCCTGCCTTCGCTAAAAACTAATCAGCACGTCTTCCCATTGTTATGAATCGATACCACAGTGTCGTATTTAAAAAAAAAAAAAGAGTGCGCGTAAGGCTCACACGCGATTGAAGTAAAACTTATTTGCTACTGTACAAGATGGCATTTAAGTAAAAATAAATACATTTTATTACAATTTTGATTAATGTTTATTAGCATTATGTTAACACTCGTGATGCACACATATATTAGTGTCAACCATTATACACATTTATATAATGATAAATCATAAATTATATATTTATAATAGCATTAAAAATATGTATAATCTTTTAAAACAATGATGTAATTAAAGTCATACTTAAAATATGACATGATCGGTTTGTCATTGTAGTTAGCATTTAGAAATGAACCTTCATTAGAGAAATGAAGTAATTGCTGATTAATGAATTCTCTAATATTCCTTCACACAGTGGATTATGTTAAACAACGCCTAAACAGATATTGTTTTTGCTACTTCACTCATCATGTAATTGTATTTGAAGAACTTCATGTCATTGAAATTAACATATATTCATTGACTGATTGTATTTTTTTTACTTTTTCGCTGGCGACTTAATCTCATTTTTTGAACAGCTGTAATATCTGTCTTACCTGAGAATATTTTATATTTTATAACTTTAAAGAATTATAGAAACTACGAATAATATAGAAATAATTTTTAAACAATAAACTCACGTTTAGTACACGGCCCAAATGTTTTTGTTTTATTATTTTCAAGAAACAGGGTAAAATATTTTTCTTATTATAGCATTTTTCATTAAATCAAGATTTGTACTATGATGTAACTTTAAAATGTTTATTTATATATACCGATTTCCTTGTTGATATCGGTACGCATACAACGTTGATGTCGGTACGCATTCAACGACATATTTCGATTCACATACACGACGGCTAATCACAATCGACCCGTATGGAAATGATCTCATCGAGAGCGTATGACGAACAGTTTGGGCGTAACGAACTTCCGTTGCATTTGTACGGATTTACTCTAGTCGGGCCTAAAAAAGTTTTACTTTAAAAAAAAAAAACTTTTTTTGAAAATTTTTCTATGATTGAACGATGAAGCATGGGTAGCACCAACTTGATGCAAGCACATATTCCAATTTTGGTCAATCAATATCTTGTTAGGGTGAAATATTACATTAAAATATATACAATAATCACACGTGTATCACAAAATTAATGATTATTCCGAAAAAGGTGCGTCTAAATTGATATTTGAAAAGTATTTGATAATTTAATTTTGTTTAATTATGTTATATTAAAGTAGAAATATATTAGTTTATTCCACAAAAAAGTTATGTTTTTGAACCCTGGTTCTAGATAGTCGATTGATCTCGTTGTTGTTAAATCTTTCGGATTACTAGCTTTGTTTCCTAAGCGACTATAACATGGAACATATTCTCTCGTTTCATAAATGACAACACTGACAATGATGTCAATATGACACAAATAAATTTTTTGTTCTTCGATGTCAAGATGGAACTTCACAGGCGGCGTGGTGTTGAATTATTGCCGCTATACAAACGCGCGTTTTGTCTGCGCGGCGGTTCGGGCTAGAGAGCGGAATTTTTATGCACGATTTTTGTGACACTATATATTCTCACATAGCACATAGTTAAACTATTTCTAAAATATACTGAACTTGCTGGTATTCTTTCACTTGAGTGCTGATTGATAAGCCGAAGCGGATTTTCTACTCGAAAAACATCATTCTACTTGTCTGTTGTCTTTTGCACGTTTTATATTTTATTCATTTTTGTCACTTTTACACATTATGCAATTTTTTTCGATAGAATCAAATCACAATCTCTATATTTAATATTTAATGCCATACACTTACATGATATATCAATACTACTTTTTTCAAGAATTTTTATCCTCATAATGATAATGATATTAATGTTACAGTATACTAAAAGATTTAAAAACCGAAAGCATGATTTTACACATGCGCAACATTTTTGTATGTGGATTTAATATTGGATAAGTGGATAGTAGACAATAATCCTTATTTCAATAATTCTTTATTGCTAGTCTGTTTATCGTACAAATAAACTTATATTAGGTTAGCAACGAAATACTGTGCATTTTTGTCTGAAAATCAGGCATTTTTTGCATGGAAATTAATAATTTTATCTTGTAATATATTGGCTATTTTAATCAGCATCTTTTAAACAGCATCATTATTTTTCATAAAAATTCTGGTTTTTATTAGTAAAAACTTAATCAAGTACATTTTGACACCATCATAATCATAGAATTGTTAACCATTCAAGGAGTTTTGTAAAGATCGAAGCAAAAAGTAATCGAAATAAAGCAAAACATCATCTTTAATAATTTTTGTCGAGTAGTCAAAGATATGCCAATGAGTCAATAATGGAATAAATCGCTGTTTCGATTATCCAATTCAGGACGTTTTTTTTCAGCTGTATAGTTCAAATTTCTAAGTCGTTTAATGTAGGCATCAGAACTGATCATTCGGTTAGTAGTAACAGTTCAGACAATTCTTCATTAATCAATTTTACCTGGACGACCAGAACGTTTTTCATCTTTGAGTGAAAAATCACCAGAACGAAATTTTGCAAACAGCTCATCACTTTTTGTGGGCTAAAAGTCCTTCTTGAGACAAATTTTAGATTTGATTTTAAATCTTTCATTGAATCCCAAATGCAAACTACGCAAATGGATCAAAAAACGCCTTTTCACTTAAGGACATCTAAATTGCCTACTATCCAATAACAAAGAATACTTTACATTTGGACTATGTCAGCACACCTAAAAATTCAATTGAAACCATCTAAGCTGAAAACCGCACTTACTTAATTTTCAACTCATTGTATTGTCTAGCTCAAATACAAAATAAAATTAGTGAATATTGTTCATGTGATATGTTATTCCAGGTCAGAACAAAACATTAAGAACGTATCGACAATACAAGAGATAAAAAGTGATTAGTAAAAATCACACCACATCAATTGTGGTTGATAAGATCAATTATGTTTTGTTTGTAATATTACACATACAATTAGAATATATAGAAATAATAGTATATGCTATAACTGATTTGTATTTTTTAAATATAAATCATTTATTTCAACTTTGAGAGCAGTTTAATTGCAACCGCTTCTTTTATACTAATAAATAAATACTATTATTATAAATGTTTTTCTTTTTCAGGGAAAAGTTTTTCCATAACGATAACGTTGGACACGTCGCCACCAGAAGTCACAACTTACTGCAAAGCTATCAAAGTTACTGTGGATGGACCAAGGGAGCCGCGATCCAAAACAAGTAAGAAATTATTATTTAATTATTTTTGTAAATGGTTAGAGTTGTGGGATTCTAATCAGTCAATGCCATACTCGTCTCGGACAATCTGATGTTAAGCAATTGTGACATCGGTTAATCAAACAACTATCTGACTATGTTCAGTAAAACTCTCATTTAATTCAACAAAGTAGAAATGTGCCTTTTCGCTTTTTCAAAAATTTGTCACTTGGTCCTTTTTACCCCATAGGTGAAGCAAATGAAAATATAAATTCCTCGGGCAATTTTTTTGCAGAGATAACTCCGCATATAACCTTAATCTGGTATTTTGTCACAAATAATCATAAGCATAGATAGAATAAATATTTATTTAACTTATCTCTTGTAAAACTGCTTTTGTTATTTTTATTCAGTTTTTTATTAACTATTTTTTATTGCACTTTTGCCAGGGTAAAGGTTTATTAACTTCCCGTAGGGCAAGTTATAGTAATCGCAAAAAAATCGAAAATGAAAATTTTTATATATCTTTACGTTTCAGAGGTTTCTGAACATTTTGGCATACCTTAGAAAAAATGGATGTATGTGTGTGTGTGTGTGTGTGTGTGTGTGTGTGTATGTGTGTGTGTATGTGTGTGTGTATGTGTGTGTGTATGTATGTATGTGTGTGTATGTATGTGCGGATACAAATTTTCGTCGACGATTTCGGGAACACGGATCAACCGATTTGAATAATTCAAAAAACATTCGATCCGTATTGATAAGGAGACGTGCTGATTAGTTTTTGGCAAAGGCAGATCAAGCCGTTCCGAAGATACGGGGCAAAAAGTTCCGAAAACGGTAACTCAGTTTTTAATAGAACGGAGCGTCCGATTTTAATAATTCAAAAAACATTTTATTTGTATTGACAAGATGAAGAATCGATACAACTTTCATGAAGGTAGGTCCAGCGGTTTCGGAGATATATAGGAAAAAGTAAAAAAATGAGCCATTTGGCGGTCAAAAATGATCATTTGACATATGCACATCAAATTATCAGACATTTTATAGAGATTTTAACAATAATGAATTTGTAATTGTAAACTAATTGTAAAATTTGTTAACATTCCTATCGGTTCCGTACCAATGCTTAGTTTTTCAAAAAAAACTAATTTTTTGTCCAATTTATAGTTTCTCAAAAATCTTATTTTTTAGAACTAATTTTTTTTCAAAAATGTTAATCGTTTTAAAAAAAAATAATAATTTTTGGTACGGGAAGTTCCAGCAATTTGCCTTAAGGCACGATGCCCTAATTGCCTTAAGACAGAATTCCACTTACAGCTAGTTTGGTCTTTTTTACACTACCCACGCGTAAGCTTTTATAGAAGTTGTATGAAAAACAGTTGAATCTAACTTAAAAATAACATCACATCTTATAGAACAATTAATTAGTGTGTACCCAAAAGTAAGTTCTCATAAACTAAACTATAGTCCCAACGTCTCAACCAAATAAAACTAACAATAGAAAATACATTTGTAATGGATTTTCAAACACCGACGCTTATCTCTTGATAGCGACGTCGTAATAATCAAGATGACTGGTTATACATCTTTTTTCTTCTACTTTCAAATATTATTGTTAAAAAATAATTGATTTCACTTGTTTTTGACCTTGTTACCTGCTCTACCTTATGCACACCGATTTTGTATGTATTATTTATTATGTATCTTTTAAGTTTCCCACTGAATGAAGGTTACGGCATAGTCGAAACGTTTGATTTTCATATTAAATTTTTGAAGATATTCATGCTTTTATTGATGTTATGCCCAATTATTAAACCCTGTCAATATATAAAGTTATATTTATGTATTTATAAATCGATGTTTTATCAGAAAATAATATTTTCGATAGTTGACGTCAATTAGCTGTAAATATAGCAAAACATATTAGATTTCTTTCATAGCACGCTTTTTGCGCTCTTGTGTACCTAACGAGGTCAAAAATAGTGCTATGAAGTATCATTAATGAAACAAAAACATAAATAGTAACACATGAATAAGAATCAAATCGAATATTTTGAAGCAAAAAACTGAAATGATAAAACATAAGTTTGTGCTGCTTCAAACAGTTAATGTGTTTGTGATTGAGTACCGGCGGCGAGACGGTCGTAATGAATTTTTGCCTGGGTGGCCCGGGAACGATTGCCAAAACATATATTTTGTCTCTTTATGTCTCTGAAAGATAACAGATGAATCATTAACAGAAGAACATATACTGCATCATACAGAATTCGTTCATTTTTTGTATTGTTCTTACTTATGACCTACTAATAAATTTTATTTAGTTCATTAAACCATTTTTATTTTCATTTCGAATAAATACTATTTCTTCTGCAGAGTCAGTCATTTTGAATCATACGGATAGTTGTATTACTTGTCTACAATTCAATTTTGTCGACATAATTTATTTGTGTTTTCATTCTGCTAATTGAAGAGTATTTAACGCAAATTCTTTAATATAAATTATTAACATATAGATAATTATAAGTAGACTCATTAAAATTTGCTGTCAAAATCAAATTTAACATTTTATACTGTATTCTTTATATAGGCAATCTGTGCATAGGAGAAGTATTTATTAGACCTACAGATATAGCCTTTTCATTTTAGTTTAATAAAATACATTAATCGCTTAAAATAACTGTCTTAACTACTTTAAACCAAATGATTGCACACAATACATATCACGTATTAAACAAACAACTATCAACTATCGTACTATGTTCAGTAAAATTCCTAGTTAATTCCTAATCATAGAAATATGTTGGAACTATTTTGTTATTAAAATTTGTTATTTATCCCTTTTTACCTCATAGGCGGAGTAAAATGGGACAGCCAGGGGCAAACGGATACCACGTCTCATTTTTAATTTTGAAGGGATTCCACGAAACTCTAATATTCAACCTTATTTTTTACAAAGATAACACTGAATATAACCTTGATCTGTTATTTTATCAGAAATATTCATTAGCAGATAACTATTAATTTAATTTTTGTTTATTAAAATTGCTTTTCTTTACTTAATTTGCTTTTTCATATACTATATTCTTATTGTTGATACCTTTGCCAGGATAAAGTTTTAGTTAGCTTATTTCACCCCACTCATATGTAAAGTTTATATGATTAACATTAATTCATTTAATTAATTAGTTAACTGGTCAATGAAACAGTTTTCTATTCTATTATTATTAGTTTGTCTCCTGATAGCGACATTGCTTGAATTACGGCGATGGTTGAATATATATCTTTCTCACCCTACTGCAAATGTAGTTGTTAAAAAAATTCTAACTTTACTCGTTTTTGAGATATTGATGGTGGATCTTTTTATCCGCGGACCTTTAAGCCCCGCTCTACCCTGGACATATCGTTTTCGTATGATCTCTATTCAAAAATGCTAGATCTTCATAAAATCATATAACATCAGAATATCAAGTTAGTATCAACAAATACATACGTTCATGGCTTAAGTTCTAAATAAAACTAGTTGGTATTGGTATTTTGCCTTAAGGCAAGTTACATGAACTTGTGTGTAAATAATCGACTTAATCAAGAAAATATACATTAATTTATGATTAGAAGTATTTCGAGTGGATTTGTTACACATCATTGAAAAAGAACGAACACTCTATCGTTATACCAAGTAAATCGTCTAATTTTAATTTCAACAAACGTCAAAAGAACGATACTAATTTTTGCAAACTTTGAAGATTTTTAAAATTAAACGACTTGTCGTGAAGCCGTAATATTTTAGTATGATCTATAAGACTATGCTATCTACCATCAAAAAAAATTCATAGAAATCGTCGAAAAAAAATGTTTAAACATGATTCTTAATCAAAATCTTTCGAACGGTTTTTGAATTTTCAAAATCGATTCACAAACGCGGGCTAAAACGGACGAAATTTTTTCACTTTCTTGCTATTTACAAAGAAACGGCTTGGCTGATCGTCGAGCAAAATTGATAAACGCTAGTCCTCATCGAGATACATTGAATGGCTTTTAAATTTTTGAAATCAGTCCAGTCGTTTTTGAGAAAACGTCGATTTACGGCAAAAAATCTGTTCACACACACACATACTTTTTCCAAATTCGGTCTCATTCAAGAATGGCTTGAAATGTTGAGAAAACATAAATTAAGCGAATCGGATTTTTCTATGAAAACATAAACTTCTTCGGGAAGTTAAAAATAAATGTTCAATTTATTTCCTCCTACTGTTTGCAACTTATTATGTATTGTAACGTTTGTATTAAATTGTATTCGGATTTAGTTGAACATGTTTACGGACATGACCATGTTTAATATTAACAAACTTCCCCAAAACCACAAAACCTAACAATAATAACGCATCAAAACATCTGAAGGCATATCGAGTCTGTTAGTATCAACAGATACCTGCCACGATAGAAATTAATTAGATTCAATTGTAAAGCACCGGTAGCGTCGCCGACTCGGAATTACCTTGGGTATTCACCTGGGCAAATTATCATGCATTCATCGGAATTTTTAATTTTATATGCACTTTTATATTATGTTTTTGTAGAATTCTATAATATTCTAAGAAAGATTTATTGAAGTAAAACTTCTTTAGGCGGGATATGGGTGTAAAAATTTCTTTAGGCTACACGGGTGTAAATCCGTACAAATGCAACGAAAACGCCAACGTGAAGTTGAACACTACGACGCCGTAAGCGCTGATGTCGCGAGTATCCACTCCCGTCATGTCATGCGTAAGTCGAGCGCTAAACCCTATATGAACTTGCATTAATTGAATCACGTTTTTTACAAAAGAAGAGGTTGCCGTATTATGTCCTCATGGAATAAGACTTTTCTTAGAGAATAAATGTGTCATGGAATATAATAAATTTATATTGAATTGAAAGTCTCGTTGAAGACAAAATAATATCTACTGCCACGGATATTTATGTAGGTTGCCGTGCGACAGATCAACAATCATACATTCGTCAGCAGTTTCACAAAAATCGGTTAT